CTGTTGGAATCCTAAATACTTGTAGAACTCGCCCTCTTCCATGGATTCAATAATGTCATTAAATAGAACGTGCTCAGCATAAAATTAAACAATAACCAAACACCTTTATTGTTGCCGAGAAAGTTTAATTAAAACAAACGTTTTTGACCTGTTCCATAGGCCATCGTCAGGTTGAAAACCGACAATTGGAAGATTTTGTTCCACAAGAACGAATACAAATATTCAAATTTCAACGGATTAAAAAGATAATATACTAGTAATGTATAAACCACACCCTATTGGCTTATCGTCATTGGTCATAATAGTGTGACATCATCAAAATAATCCCTCTATTTCTCTATTTGAATTAGACTAGAAGCTAGTTTACTAATAATGTATATTAGAGGGAGGAGAAGAAAAAAAACTCACTTGTCAACGGGAGCTCATTGAATGTTCGTTGCTGAGAAAGAAAAGATATTAAACGAATAAATGTAAGCCCCGTAATAGATAAAGCAGCTAAAGCTACTATTATTTTGCTTATCGATATTAAGAGGGGCATCTTTTACCACAATATAATAAATTTATAATATAAATAACGATAGATACTACGAAAATACTATTCAGAGAATAGAGAGCGAAGGGAAAAATCCCTATTCGGTGGGTAATTTTTGGGCGGTATAACGTTATTCGATATTTTATGAGCGATTATTATTATCGTTTGCGTCAGAACAAGATGGCTGTTAACGCTTAGGCTACTATTGAAAATGGCAATTTCCATCTCGCATGTTGTAAGTAAATACAGAAATCTTAAACTAAAAGGGAAGGAATAATTTTATTAAAATATTATTCTATTTTAGAATGTATATTGATCTTTTATTATTTTGTTAGCTTCTAAAAAGATAAGAATATAAACGATGCTAACACGATGATAATATGAACATGTTGCCACCTCTTTTACGTAAAAATTTCCCTCATGTTTTAACGAAAATGTTTTAATGTATAAAATTACTAAAATCAAACTAAGAAAATTATACATGATTTAAAAAGCTTAATAAATAACATTAAAAAACTTCTAATCGTAATGTTACAAATATTAACGAAGATTTGATTTGCAATTGAAGATGTTATAAATTGTGCGCTAATGAACAATAATGTAAAACCAATCAATTTTTTATTAGTTTTCATAATTAAATTTAAAAATAACTGAATTAATGTATTAATGCTAAAAAAAGAATATTCGCATAACAAAATAGCTATTTAAGATCATATTTAATTAATAGATGTGAATTATATCTTGTTTAGCTTACTTTTACTTTACCATACAAGATGTTACAAATTGTTTTTCTTTTTAGAGTAATAAATTATTGAAGCTACATATCTGGAAAACCAGAAACGTATATCATGGTCTCACAAACCTTTTCTCTCAATTACGGCTGGAAAAAAAATACACGTCATTATCTACATTGAAGATCGAGTGTTTGAAAAATAGATCATTAATACAGCTTTCGGGTCCAGATACTTCTGCGTATCTTCAAGGATTAATCACCAATGATATTGGCCATTTTCTTCATCGTTCCCATTCTTGTATGTTCGCTATGTTTCTGAATCAGCAAGGACGTGTTCTTTACGACACCATTCTCTACAAGATTTCTTCCTCTCCATCAGAAGAATTTCTTCTTGAATGTGATACGACGGTTGTTTCTGAACTGATCCGGCATCTTCAGTTGTATAAAGTTAGAAAAAAGGTTGAAATTCTTCCTGTTTCTGATAAGATGGTCTGGTCCGCTTTCTCTCCGTTACCATGGGATTCTCTTGATGTCTCGCCTACAATGCGATGTAGTGACCAGCTAGCTAAAAATTTAAAGGCAACAATGATCTTAGAAGATCCTCGCCATGTTGGATTAGGTTATCGAATTGTTTTACCAGCCAATTCGCTGCCCAAACTGACTTCAGAAAAGGAAATAGAAGATTCATACGAAGAGTTACGGTACAGGCTAGGAATAGGAGAAGGCATAGCAGATCATCCTCCGGGCAAGTGCTTTCCTTTGGAATGTAATTTGGATTATCTTCATGGAATCAGCTTTCACAAAGGCTGTTATATAGGTCAGGAGCTCACTGCTAGAATTCATCATACGGGAGTTGTTAGAAAAAGATTGATGCCAATTCGACTAGAAGTAGAAGAAAAAGAGATTCCAGAAAACTGTATAATTCATAACGACAAAAATGAAAATGTGGGAAGATTTAGGAAAGGTAAAGGAAGATACGGATTAGCATTATTGAGGATTGCTGAGAGTTTGGCGGCGAAATATTTGGTATTGAAGGATTTGAACATAAAATTGGAAACGAGAAAACCGTTCTGGTGGCCGATAGAAGCAGCCAAAAGTCATTAATAATTGCAGAGATTTCGTTATATTTACAAATTATATTTAAGTTTTTCAAGAAAGAATATACGAATTATTTTAATAGTTTTAAATTAATTCATAAAACTTCAACAGCAGAATAAATATTATAGAGAAGAGAAAATTTTAAATTTCAAATACTGAAATGCAATTACGGAAAACATTTATTTGACGAAAGTTTAGTTAACGTTTATTTGTATTCGTATTTATGGAAAGTATAGAAAAATGCATCTAAAATAAATTAGAAATTTTCATATGATGAGAAAGTATTGTTTACATTAAAAATTTAATCATTAATTTATCATTGTAATTAATTTTAATGTTTGAAAATTTATCAAACAGTTAAATAAACATAAAACTATTCAATTTCTCTTCACTGTAGTCAAAAGCTCTTTCGTTTCATCTCCTAATGACGTGTTCAAAATGTACATGAATGTCGTACTCAATGTTGAAATCTATTATATAAAGCGAGCAGAACGTTTCGTATACTAAACTTGCAAATGCGTGATGCTGTTAATTTTTCTCATTTTAATTCGAATAAAAAACAATTAATTAATTAATAACACACAAATAAAATCGACTCGAAATAGAGTATACCATTATAAATATATAAAATAATAAACTGACCAATATAGAATAATAAAAACTAATTTAATTTTCTTCGCTAACTCACATTTTTGGTTATTTAATATAAAAATAATAGGAAAATGTCATTGTATTAATTGGACTTCAATTTGAAAAAATTGTAGACCTATAAATTTCCACTGTTGTTCGTCCGTCCATCTTTCCTTAATCTCTAGAACAAAGTTAGATAGATGAAAGATAAGACTACATATGGAAAATTTAGGGACAGAAGGCCCTTATTAACTGTATACCAACTTCCGATAGAAACCGGAAGTCGTGTTGTTCCAATTCAAAAATTTTCTGAAAACAGTTAATAGATGACCGGCACGACTCTATTGTTAAAGGAAAAGTATCATGTACAGGGGCACGTTGCTATTTAAGGTGGAGAGAATATATTTTAAATTAAGTTAATTTAAATAAAAAAGCCAAACTCAAAATGAAATGACAACGATTTAGGATTTACCTGTATTTAATTTGTATTATTATTCTATATTGTTCTCGTCGAGAACGTTATATTGCACCGGGCCACCCGCATAGCAGGCTGCCACTATACGACACGATCACCAATACCCAAGTTTATAGTGTTTTCAATTATACTTTCATAATGTCGTCGACCTGTTTTCAAGCTTTTTTTTTTTTTATTTTTGATAGAAAATAAAACGATCGTGTCGCTTCCTCCAATGCAGGGATGTAGCCACATCGGGCACCAATTCGCCAATTTTTTTCATATTATTTTTCAGTGTCTGTTTTTTAAGACAATTTTTGATGTTCAGTATTTTGTATTTACATGATCGTATACGAGACATATTAATAGTAAGGATTATTAAGAATATAATTAATTTATATTCTGAATAATCCTCACTATTATCTATATATATAAATCATAAGACTACAATATAGATAGATGAAAGATAAGACTACATATGGAAAATTTAGGTCAGCATAGATCAGCAATTGGTTAGAAAACGTAACGTTTTCTAACCAATTGCTGTTCGTTCGTCTACCAATTATCTTTTTGGATTACAAAGACGCTACACACTGCACATAAATCAAGATGTTTGTTTGTTCGCTATGCATGCCTAAGCCGTTCCACCGATCGCTACAAAACTCGGCAGTTACGGAGACAGGTAGCGTATAGCACTTGCCTGAGTGGAATTGAAAGTGTTACTCTGTGAAAAGTCTATAAGTATTCAATTTTCGACATCTAACAATGAGTTTTTTCATTTCCTAACGATACTTTCTTAACCCTTAGGTCCTCGTCCTGGAAAGTGGAAACGTCACTCAATGTTTTCGAATGGCGGTAAAGGAACTTTGGTACACCAAATATACACACACTACAGTTGTCTTAATCTTCCTTTGCAACTTTGTCAACACAGATGTAAGGATATTTGCAAAATGCTAAAACGTTTCATTGAAGAACACGGATGCTGTGTTTAAACTGTTTCATAAGTATGAAGGAATCATGTTATTTATACATACAGTATATGAAAATGTTTGTTTGTTTGTATTGCTATATACTCCTGGGCTGTTCGATCAATTGTTACGAAACTTGTTCCACTTAAATACTTCTAACTTACTTGTTAGATCATGTCGTACATCTCATCCCAAAATATCTATCGAATATCTATGAATCAATTAATTTCTATCTACATTCAATTTTATGATTTACACATAGCACCATATATTGTCAATAAATTTAGCAATATGAACGCAGGTTTCAAAGTTCCCATCAGCATCTTCCGTCCAGAGTTAACGAATGGTGTCGGGTAGATTCTCCGAAGCGGACCTTTCTCGTGACCCAAACAAGTCTTGTCTTCCGCTTAGGGACAGACGAGGGAGCGGGAAAAGGGATGTGGAGCCAATGAGAATAGACAAAAAGAAGAACGGAGATTGATATAGTCCCCGATCTTCAAAGACACACACACACTCACACGCGAACATCCCTTAGGTTCATCCTGACGCGGAATTAATTGATCTCTCTAAAAGTCGGCTTACTTACAAGAGTCACACTTAATCATGTTGCACTGTTGCAAAATTATGCGTTATCGGAAAAAAAAACCGTAAAAACTGTCCAAATAAAATACGTTTAAAATTAATCGTTCCTAAACAGAAAAAAAAAACAAAAAAAATTAATATTTTTCTTGTATAATTTAAAATCATTCTTATATTTATATTACTCCGTAAAAACGGTGTCTGAGACCCAGTCTAGTACCCCTTATGTCATGAGCCCTTAATTAACAGTCTCTTAGCCGTGCTTAATAGTAATGTCACTGCTAAATACCTAAAATCGGAAGTTTCTTATTTCTTTTTGGAAGTTTCTTATTTTATGTATTTATTTATTTGGAAGATTTTTCTTAATGCAGCTTAAGCGATTATGCCTCCAACATGTATGCTAAAATGCATTGAAAAATGAGAAAATTCTTAAAGAAAAGAACTTCATTTTTTAGTTTTTCGGCTCTCTTATATATAACAGAGGAAAAGTATATCGATCGGTCAATAAATGACCCCTAAGATTTTCACATTATTGACTCAGGGAACCTTGAAACATCGAGAAATGCAAACAATTTGGGGGGAGTTCTGTATGTAATATGATGTTATAGTGTGTGGGGACACAATTTTATTCACTCACTTTGAAGGTTAATAACCCTTGTGCTTTTTGTCGAAAGATTCTGAAATTTTTCAGGGAGGTTTGGGTATGGGATTGATGCTATTAAATTGTGACGGTAAAAGATAGAAGGGATCGTTTATATCTCGAATAGGGTAGAACTTAATGAAGATTTTACTCGTTATTAGCATTTGCAATTTTTTTATATTAAACTCATTCCTACCCTGAAAATTAAGTTTCTTCGTCGTTTTATAATAATTATTAGTATAAAAAGTTTTTAAAAATAAAATATCATAACAGATGGCGCCACACTTAGATTTAAATGGCGAAAAGTTAAGAAACTCGTTGCTGGATTGTTCCATGGAGACGTAAGAGTAGATTTAAAAATTTTAAATATAATAAATTTCAGCAATCAAGAAGCGTCTGCTACTATAAGAAATATAACAAATGGTATATCAAAAGAGGAAGGAAAACAATTACCTATAAGAACAACTACAGGTTAAAAGTTATAAACAAAATTAAATCGAATGGCTTGACTATTTTTTATGTTATAAAATGACAAATCCCGCAAGATTATTAAATAAGCTAAGTGTAATTATGTGAAAATATTAGCAACTTATATTTCATTTCTACGTTTTAAGTACTGTATACTGAAAAATACATTTTAAAAATCTGTAAAGTAGCACACTTTTAACAAGAAAGGCTGTTTAAAGTATTTAATTCTTATTGATAAGTACACTATTTATTATAAAATACAAAATGCATATTAATAAATAATTGGTTAGAAAACGTAACGTTTTCTAACCAATTGCTGTTCGTTCGTCTACCAATTATCTTTTTGGATTACAAAGACGCTACACACTGCACATAAATCAAGATGTTTGTTTGTTCGCTATGCATGCCTAAGCCGTTCCACCGATCGCTACAAAACTCGGCAGTTACGGAGACAGGTAGCGTATAGCACTTGCCTGAGTGGAATTGAAAGTGTTACTCTGTGAAAAGTCTATAAGTATTCAATTTTCGACATCTAACAATGAGTTTTTTCATTTCCTAACGATACTTTCTTAACCCTTAGGTCCTCGTCCTGGAAAGTGGAAACGTCACTCAATGTTTTCGAATGGCGGTAAAGGGACTTTGGTACACCAAATATACACACACTACAGTTGTCTTAATCTTCCTTTGCAACTTTGTCAACACAGATGTAAGGATATTTGCAAAATGCTAAAACGTTTCATTGAAGAACACGGATGCTGTGTTTAAACTGTTTCATAAGTATGAAGGAATCATGTTATTTATACATACAGTATATGAAAATGTTTGTTTGTTTGTATTGCTATATACTCCTGGGCTGTTCGATCAATTGTTACGAAACTTGTTCCACTTAAATACTTCTAACTTACTTGTTAGATCATGTCGTACATCTCATCCCAAAATATCTATCGAATATCTATGAATCAATTAATTTCTATCTACATTCAATTTTATGATTTACACATAGCACCATATATTGTCAATAAATTTAGCAATATGAACGCAGGTTTCAAAGTTCCCATCAGCATCTTCCGTCCAGAGTTAACGAATGGTGTCGGGTAGATTCTCCGAAGCGGACCTTTCTCGTGACCCAAACAAGTCTTGTCTTCCGCTTAGGGACAGACGAGGGAGCGGGGAAAAGGGATGTGGAGCCAATGAGAATAGACAAAAAGAAGAACGGAGATTGATATAGTCCCCGATCTTCAAAGACACACACACACTCACACGCGAACATCCCTTAGGTTCATCCTGACGCGGAATTAATTGATCTCTCTAAAAGTCGGCTTACTTACAAGAGTCACACTTAATCATGTTGCACTGTTGCAAAATTATGCGTTATCGGAAAAATAAACCGTAAAAACTGTCCAAATAAAATACGTTTAAAATTAATCGTTCCTAAACAGAAAAAAAAACAAAAAAAATTAATATTTTTCTTGTATAATTTAAAATCATTCTTATATTTATATTACTCCGTAAAAACGGTGTCTGAGACCCAGTCTAGTACCCCTTATGTCAT